GTTCTTCTCTTCGACAAATACGTAAATAACAACCACTCACCTACTAATGCATCTCCGTTACGTATTACACTGCAAGGCATGACAGTTCGCGAAATCTAGTGGCTTGGATCCGGTTATTTGCAAGTTATAATTGATTTCAACGTTTCTCCCCAAAAGATAATTACAATTTGGTACTTTTTATGTACAAGTTTGAAAATGGGCTCGGCTTAGCACAAAAAAAAAATAATGGTAATAATGAAAATGAAAATGAAAAAAAAAAAAAAATGAAAGGAAAGGAAAGGGAAGGTCTTTGTGCGGTAAGAATTGCGACAGCGGCGATAAGGTGTTAAGAGAGTAAGCGCGCGCGCGTGTGTGTGTGTGTATCGAGGAATTAGGGGTCACTATCGAACCCAGATGATTTTATGATCTTGAATTAATCAATTCGTTCGCATGAGTATCGGTGATGCACGAACGAATAAAAAAAGATGTGATTTGTGTTGGCCGTCGCACGATTGATGATTTCTGAAGAGAGGAAAATGTTTAATCTATGTGGAAGGATGCAGATGTGTGTGTAGGTGGAATGGGCTGTTACGCAATGACTTAAAGAAGTGGATCTTTTTTTTTTTTTTTTTTCTTTCCAATGCAAGGAAAAAAAGACTAGAAAGTGGGATATAATCTTTCGTGAAGAAGGCGATGCTATCGAGAGTTCAGCATGCCATAGTCGAATTCCGAGGATTTTTAAATACTTTTCTGGATGAACAATATAAAATTTAAGGATTTTCGCCCTTCGCAATAAAAGAAAAAAAAAAACAAAACGGTGATATCGGTAATTATTGAAACGCAAGCTTCACGATAATAAAGCGTATGCAGCACAAGGAGTAAAAATCGAGGTCCTTGGTGAAAGGAAGAAAAGGATTTTGATTAAAAGTGGAGAGAGGAATCTTGTCTGTTACCGCCTCTTATAAACAGTTTACCATTGTACATACTAGTAAAATAAAATATCAAATACAGTAAATCAAAACTGTTTATTATAATGTATATAGTGTACAACTAACCATAATGTATAATAAAAATTTGCTAAAAAAATTCTTTTGGAGAATATTAGATAGGAACTCCGTGCTCAGAGAGAACGACTGCATATTATTATATCGGCTGACGCACCTGAAAAAAAAGGCCGCAATAATAACAGATTAAATAAGATAAGGCATAAGATAATATACGAAGTTATAAAGTTTTTTGGTTCAGGCAGACAAACAATTGCCATTGTCGCAAAAAAAAAAAATAGTATTGAAACATCATCATAATGGTAAAAAAGAAAAAAAAAAAAAAAAAAAATACGATCGACCTTGTTCTTCATGTCTCGAAATATATTAGAGACATTCGGTGAATAAGTAAATAAATAAGTAAATAATAAATAAAAATAAATAAATAAATAATAAAATAATAAAAAAAAAAACGTTTACTGTTCAAGTAGAAAAGCCATCATAGATTAAAGAGATTATTGATGGGAGACATGATATCAGATATCTCTCGAACAGTACAATCTATTGCCACTCGTAACTACTATAAACAGAAGAAATGGTTCATGTAAGCTCATGGTTTCTCCGCTTGCAAATGCGTGTGTCTACAATGGTCGCTCGGCTATGATAAAGAACAAAGGAAATCTTTTTTTTTTCAAGATGTTACTGCCGGTGCGTGATCAGAAAGTGTGATCATCAGCTGCTTGTCACGACCGCCAAGTGATTAATAAATCATACAGAATTCCCAAATCCAAATGGCAACCTCTTATTCGCGTGTGACACGATACGAGATCAAATTTATGACAGAGCGCAACCATGAAACACCTTTTGCAAGGAATAAGCAAGAGAATAGGAACTTTTCCAATTGTCTTCCACTTTCACACGTTCTCGGTTTCACCAGAAATCAGAGTTCGTAGAAGTTGTGCGATAATTTTGGAATGTATGGTCCTTTCAAATTTGTCGCCTGCCTTTTTGACCTTGGGGTCCCAAGAGTAACCATTCATCGGAAACCGAATACCTCTTCTATTTCCGCGTGGAAAATACAGCAGGACCTAGAATAGAAATATTTTGTCAAACCTTTTGTTTTCACTTTCGGATGAGTCTATCGTGGGCAGGATAAAGGATTGTTTGACATTTTTGTATGTATTAACGACTTTAGCAGTAGAATCGAGTGTATGTTGTGGACGGTATACGTGTGCCAAACTAGAGTTGCAGACGAGCACGCATATAACTCGAGTATGATTCCCAGAATACATACAGCGAAGAAAAATTTTCCTCTTTTGGAACATACTCAGTCGTTGGATCACTTCATTAACTACGTAAGCCGGACTCTTATAACGAAATTGGCAGGCGAGCAATGCAAGTGGTATGGGGTGATTGCATGAACTGCGTAGTGTATTCTTGGGATCGTATTGCGCCACGATTACGTGTAAGCTTCTTTCATCACTACAAGTGGTGGACGGTAAATTTCAAAAAAAATCAAAAAAAAATTTTTTTTCCTTTCTCGCTCGTCCTCGGGTAGTCACAGAAACAAAAAAACTTCGATTAATATGTTCTGGAACGTTGCCATAAATAGTCACGAAAACCCCATAAAGCATTTACGATAACAAGGAAATCACCGGATACACCGAATCAAGCAACCTTCTGGAATCATCTTGGAAGTAAAAACGTGGACTTCTAACACTACAAACAAAGGTAAAGTACGTAAGTAGATACTTACGTATGTGTAGATTGACAGAATGAATTTTCATTTAGGTTTATACAACGTTTTTCTCCGTACTACTGCTATACCGTAACCACGGTGATTTGCTAAAGAAAAAAAAAAATTTTTTTTCGGACCAGTTTTGTGCATATTGATTTTCCATTGCTGGGTATTTACGGCGAAATTTTTCATTGTCGACAGTTCCTTTCCGATTTCATCCAACGGTTGTACAGACACCGTACAGTATAATTCTTAAAATTTACTGGTTCTCTTTGTTCGGAAGACAACATCACCGCAGGAGCTATAGGTCATTTTTACATTGGAGTTTTCATTAATGGCGAAAACGACAAAAAAAGGGAGTCGATAGATTCCTTGCCATG